AAAACATAATTTCTTCTCAAAAATTACATTCTTAAATTGTCTTTGAAAATCGTGCAAATCGACTTAAGGAATCTTTTGTAGAAACACTTATAAAACGTTTCCAGTTTAATATAATTTCACGATACTCAACGAAGAGAAAATTACATTAAACAGAATCTTATCGGATAAAAGATGAAAAGGAATAAACTTGTAATAACTAAGGATAAAGAGAGAGAGAGAGAGAGAGAGATGGTGGAAATGGAGGGGATTGGTTATCCAGAGTTCTTCGGAGTTGCACGTCGGATAGAGTTCGCTTTGATCTTGTAGTTGCAAATTTAATGACTTTGTTTACAAACAATATCAAAGGACGTCGAAGGGACCGCAATAGCAATATGCACTCTTTGATGTGGCACTGTAGCGAAAACTTCACCCTGTAGATTGCATAGGCAACTCTTTTCAATTATTGATTAGATAGATCTATTTGTGTCCTATCTCAATTCTCGAGAAAGTAGTTTTATTAATATTTTATGTTGCAGGCGAAAAGATTTGATTGAGTTGAGTAGCAATGAAGGTGAAATAAAAATTATCAATGCCTTCAAAAAGTAATGGCGTTGAACATTAAAAACATAAATACAACTCAATTTAATTCTATTAAAACTATATTAATGAACACCTCAATTCACCTATCAACCGCATGTTTAAATTAATGGCCTTGATGAAAAACTTCCTCGAAAATATTCATTCTCTCCTTATGCACATACCTTATTTAAAAACATAAATAGTATATTTTATCACTGGAGCGTAAAATGACTCTTTTCGACCATAGGAAGAGTTTTAGAGGTCGGAAAACAAACGAGGGTTGAAAGAACACGTTTTCCCCGGGTGATGAACTATATTTTTCGTCATATTGCCTCATTAATAAAATAAAAAAACTAAGCTATAAAGCGAAAATACTAATTTCATGTAAAGATAACCTCTCAAAACGAATTCCAGCTTGTTTTCAGTCTGCCAACGTAAATAAGTATCTGTTTAGTATGTCACTCAATCATTTCGCGTGTTACGATTGTGTTACTGTATTACCATTGATATGACGAGCTATTCACAAGAATTCAATCACAAGATAACCTACCTAAAAATCAATCAATATATAATATCAAAGATTACATATGCTACGCAAAATTTGCGTAGCATAATATCGATTGATCTTTGATCTTTGATAATATCGATCCATGCGATTGCTACAAGCGAAATTTACAACTGTTTACAAAAGCTGATTTTTACTCATTATAGACTAAAAGGCCTATTACTCCCTAAGGAGTAAAAAATACTACCCACAACGTACGTATAAAAATCGGCTTCATTCTGCCACTTAGTACAATGGCATGAGGTAAACATTAAGTACGATTTAGCCTTTGCTTTAATTTGCTTATAATTTCTGATAGATTTGTTACTGTTTTATCAATAGAGTTAAAGATTTTCATTATTCTCTTCTGTATTCTCACCCCTTTACAAAGCACGAGTGGCGCAACTAGTTTCAATAACATGTGTAAAATGAATAAAGTCCAACTAAGTACCTTAAGTATTTTTCTTTAAAACCTTTACCATAGTTATCCTCGTTCTCTTCCTTTTCTAAAATTTTAATTTTCTGTATATTAGTGGACTAAAAGTAGTTAAACTATTCATTTCTAACAAAAACCAAGCAATTACACTAATATATTGTAAATGTGAGTGTTTGATAACAAAATCCGTTTAAACTAAACTGTTTAATCGACAATCCCATCTATGTAGATGATGAGATGAGCTTACCAGAAAAATAATTGTTGGACAACACTCATTGGTCTCAAGTAAATTCGAAAGGTCTTAAAAGAAAAGTACGAAACAAAGTAAAGAGTTCGCTCTATAATGCTTAGTGACACAGCCACTACTACTTCCTGTATAGTGGAGCAATTATTAGAATGCGAGCAGGTTCAAGTTTGTAAAGATACAAACACTAATTAGAAACAAAAGACGTCCTGGTCTGAACGCTCTTGGAGTTAGAATCATCTGACTTGCAAATTCTTGCAATTTCCTGTTACATAATTTCGCCGCGCTTCTAAAATTATTGAGTTTTTGTTTTATGGAAATTTTTGCATAGCGAGTAGAGTTGTCACTCTATTATATACATTTTTTAAAACAAAATTCGGGTAGGAATAAGTTACATGACTTCGCGTTTGAAAAAAAAACTTTTATCGATTCTTTGTCTTTTGACTTAGTACATAAACGTAGATAGAATCTGCTAAATGTTTTAAAAGTTGTTCTTGATGTTTCATTATGATTTTAAGTATTGAGTTTGTAATGTTTTTGGTTTTTATATATTTTTTCAACAGTATTGAATTTTTTTTTATTTTATCAATTTTATTAATGTGGAAGTTTTACTTTTGTTAGGCGTGTCGTAAAGGTTACACATAGTATTTTGTAAGTTTTCTACGATTGAAAAGGAAATAAATAGAGCAGAAAATCTACTAAATGCTATTCCAACCAAATGACAAACTATCGTTTTATAATAACGCACCCTTTAAAGATATATTATACATCTGACTTCTGTGATATGTTTATTTTGTAATAATTTAAAAAATTGGATGATTAAATAAACAAAAATGGTATCAACAATCTGACGCATACTTTCTCCCGCTGCCCGCCAACAACCCTTATAGCATATGGGGTGATAGTTAATGTGGTAATTTACTGGGAAAATCACAACAACTTTTAAACAGTAATTTTTACAGAAATAGGAGTTTTACTATTTCGTTTTGATTTTAAAGGACTATAACCCACACACAAAAAACTTGAATCAAAGTTAGTCATCTTGTTTTTTATCCGATTTATACGTGAATTAAAAGGGTTTTATGGGGCTAATCACAAAATGTATAGTAACTTATGAACCATAATGTTTACAGTAATGTGAGTTATCTGGTTCAGCGACAAAAGGAGTATAACATACAACACTTTAATCAAAATTGTTCTAGCCAATTTTGAGAAAATTTTCTTATTTTTTAGGTTTTAATGGGAAACCCACCAATTCAAAATCTAAATTTAAAAAAAGGTGAAAACTCTGGAGATACTATTGATTGGTATAGAATTTTAGACTCTAGCACATACTGTGATCAGCCGACATAACTAGTTCTTTTTGATTATAAATTGGCGACAGCTGTTCCATATAGATGGGATGTCTACTTCATAATCCTACTAATATTATAAATGAGAAAGTTTGGATGTATGGATGCATGTATGGATGTATGTTTGTGACAAGTGAACGCATTAACCACTGGACGGATTTTGCTGAAATTTGGCATGATGATAGCTCACATTCCCGATTAACATATAGGCATATTCTTATCTCAAAAATCCTTTCGGGCCCCGCCCCAGTGGCTCTATAGTTCCCCATGTTAACCTTATGAGTATTCATATTAAAAGGGAATTAAATAATTTAGTCAGCTGTTTCAACTAAAAAGTTGATTCTATGATATGCAAAAGCATTAAAAACTTACAAGGATTACCAACAGGGTGCAGCACTATTATTTTTTTTTAATCTATGACTACAGCTAATTTGCAACCAAAAGGTGAGTGAGCGTAGCGAACGAACTTCATCCAGGAGGCGAGTTAGCGTAGCGAACGAGCTAACATGAAGGCAAGTGAGCGCAGCGAACGAGCTCCAACCTAAAGGTGAGAGAGCGTAGCGAACGAACTTCAACCAGGACGTGATTGAGCCATGCGAACGAGCTCACTTATGAAGTAAAACGGGGCAAAGCCCGCGGGTACAGCTAGTAACCCATATAACAGTGGTATACATGGTGTGTTATTTAAATGCCAAGCGTTGAGTACAACTGACTTATGAAAAACTACAGCATTCAAACGCCTTTAACAAAAATACAAACTACAAACTAAATGCACTCATCAGTTTCACTTGAAGACTTGCAGTCCTAAAGCATTATTCTTCGTTAGTTTGACACCAATGCTATTTGTTTGCCATCTCAAAGATATTACCATGGCAGTCATTACTGACTAACTGAGTTAAATAACTAAAAGAGGACTCATACCGAGGAATTTATAATGATTAACGCATTTCCTTCTAATTCCATTAAACTAGAAATGTTTAATACATGCACACTGTTTACCACAGTTGAAAAACGTTGATAGTTTATTTTAAATCGTTAATTCGAATCAAATTTCTTTAACGGTGGTTTACTATTCAATATCTATGTTTAAGTATGTATAATATTTTAGCTTTGGAAAATATATCTATAACCTGTTTTTTATATCTATAGATCTCTTTCACAAAATTCGTAGCATTTTATAGCTTGAACAAACTATCATCTCATATAGTACTATGTAAGACGAATTTGGAAAGACCTGTGTGTATGCGGCAATGTCTGTGGTTATTAACAATAGATAAATTGTCTCTGTAAAAATTTAAATTATTAGATCTTATAAGACTGAAACTGACGCATCAACAATTATTCCAAATATTCGAGCCGATTGTGTACAACTTACGTTTATAAAAAAAGAGTTATAAAATTAGTTAGGGACTTTATATTCTATTGTTACCCTATCGAATCAATGTTAAAACTTAATGAGCTTGGTTGAATTGCCGAAATGGAACTTATAGAAAACTTGGAATATAGTTAATAGTTGAAAGTTAATAGTTGAAACGTGAAATTCTTGATACTGTTGTTCTTATTATTAGGTCTTTAAAAGTTACCAGTCGATATTGTTTATGACAACTCTACTCTTTTGTCAATGCGTTACTTTTTTCTTAGATAACACAAGATCATATAAAAACATAAGTTGTGTCGTTATTATATTATTAACACATAGTTCTTCCTAATAAATCTCCCCTGAGTAAAATGTTGGCAAATGTCAAGCGTCTTGAGGCATACACCTAAATTGTCCCAAGTGAGTTAATTTTATCAAAATTTACAATTTTGTTTGAACACATTCTACAGTTATTGGTATTATTGAAACCAATTACAACTATAACTTACTTGTTAGATTTGGTGTTGAAGTGTTCAGGCACAAAGATGGTCCACCAAGACGGACGCTTCTGACGATGGTATTTGATATCATCTCCAGCAGGCGAGGCCGGGTCGGTGGAGGCTGCACTCTTGCGTCGCTTCTTCTCAAACTTTCCTATAGTGGGATGCCACGATTTACGTCGTCCTCTCTTATCCTCCAGCGCCTGACGTGACGTAGGCAACGTAGGAAGGTCGTCTTTGGTATATTGGTCCATCGTCTCCATCACTTCCTCCAAGCTCTCCAATCCGGATATGGAGGAGGTGCTCCATTTCTTCCTTACTGGAGGGTTGTTGTTGGTCGCCGAAGGGTGGATGTAGAATTCCGTATCCATGATTTTTGCTTCTCACTTACCGCACTACAACTACTGTGGTCCGGGCACTGATTAGCCGCACTGATAATGGATCTCTCTGCTCGTGATGAACGTGTTCATCGTAACCACACACTAAGCACTACCACTGCAACCGCACACGAACACTACCTACCAACAAAACAAAACAAAAATTAAATGAAGAAATAAGCATGATAAAATAAAAATGTTAACAATAAAAATAATAGTGAATAGGTATTTTATCAAAGGAATGGTAAATGTGAAGGTCAATATAGGAAAAAATAATGCAACGTGGAATACAAAATAAAAATTGTACCAAATAAATGTAAATAAGAAAATACCAAATCAACATGATCTAGGATGGTTCTTGAGCACTCGTAAGCATTTTACTTAATAAATAATGATTAGTTTCTCGAAATATTAAACTAGTTAAGCGATTTTATTCTCAGGGCTGGGAGTTTGTGTGTAATAGGTCGTAGCAGAAAAAGGGTAGGCCTATGTATGTCACCAGGCTGGACAATGAAAATACTTCAATTCGGTTCAAGATGTTGCATACGTACACCCCGTTGGGCCTTACTACTTGACTGTATAATTTTTATAATGTGCAGTACGAGGATTAATTTATTTCATGGATATATAGTTGGTAACTATAAACGAGAATAGAAAAATCCAACACATAAAAAACCGACATTAATCTTAAAATGGGGATCTTCATTTATCAGTTCTCTGACAATTTCATTCACTAATGATTTGAATCCCAGGTCTCGTACGAACATGACCACACCGTTCGTATTATTATTTTAACGTATTTAATAGTTAATGTATTTTTAAACACCAAACTGATTCAAAACCACGACACTGTAAGACCTTTAAAAAGAACCATGGTATTTATTCAATAAAATTCTATGTTTCTACTTGAAATTAATCCAAATCTGATATTCAGATAAGCTATGCAATTTTAGATAAAAGTGGCAAAAATCATCGGCGTAAAAACTGAATAGCAAAACTTATTGAACAATGTCAAACCAAGATCATAATGTGTCAGAATCATTTAATTCATTTAAGTGGAAATCAACAAAGTTTGGTATTCATAAAACTTATACTGCTAAGAAATTTCTGAGTGGGAAAGTTGTGAATAGGTTTCGGAGGTAACCAAAATGTATTCAACACATATCGAGCGAGTGTCAATGTCAGTGACAGCGTCAAGTCAAGCCAAGCGGATACACGGGTATACGTTACATGTGTATTGCATCCAAACCTGAGGTAGTGGAATATTCTTCGAACATGTAAGTTGTAGTCGATTGCTTGAAATTGAGTGTAGTTTGGATAAAAGAATTTTGATGGCTCAGCACATTTAAGTGTAGTTAAATAGATAAAACTTTGATACACAAACTGCGAATTCAAAAAATAAGTGTTTTAAACACCTTAAGTGAGAATCTCTTTGACTTAAGGAATCTGACTAAAAGATTTATGAGGTAGGCCTAGTGTTCGCCTGACAGTAAAAATACCGCCTGTCAAGAAAATACGGTTTTCGGGGGGTTCGAAACAGGATTCAACCATTCTTCATTATTAGAATCCTATAATAGTCTTGGCTTGAACTAGTTGATCTTAGTAAAAAATAACAACGCTGTACAGATAACCTCACTTCACCTTTCACTTATCTTGCAGTCATAGTCATTCACATAAGAAGATACGCATGCAACACGTATGACTAAAGAATAAACGTTAAGTAAATATGTATTCAATAATTATTAACTATGTGTCCAACACACCATGTCCAAGAAAATTAAATAGATTATTAGCTTTGGTAAACAGAATCCAACAATTACAACTGTGAAATGTATTTTGGTGTGTTTGTTTTTGATATTTGGTGACCATTATATGCACCAATCTATTACACTATTGTACACAAATCTGTATGAATAAAGTCTACTCTCTCATCTCCTCTGAAAATGCCTAATACGTAGGCAAGGAAAAAATAAAATTATAGACCACACTTTGTGATGAAATGTGAGGTGGCAATACCATAGTAAGCATCCGATAGGAAGGTTCACTGATGATTAAACCTATTGTTTTACTGCAACAAAAGTGCATAATCGCAAAAGTAGATAACAATAGTAGTTTATCATAAAGATATTATGATTGATAAATCTGATGCACTACTTGAAAGCTTAGCTTTGTTAACTTTGGCAACATTGTAATTTAGAAATTTATTGAAAATGTCTGTTCTAATAATAGCTGGAAACACACCAAATAACAAGATGAACATAAATCCAAGCGGTTTACAACAAACCTTGAGTTACCCGCAAACTTGGCCGGCTTACACTCTGTTTGGTTTGATAAGACAAGAGGGTAGAGCAACTAGGTTAAGTAAACTTGGCGGGTAATAAAGCGACACAGCTGTCAGGTGGAAGTCAGCTGTGTTTATCAACCATGAATCAGCTGACTGAACAACGGAAAACTCTTACAGAAATTGGTCGTAATTGAAGTGCCTTTCAATGCGCGTTTTATGATTGCTTGCAGTTACCATTTTTCAAAGGTTAACTGGAAAAATTACATATGTAATTTCCTACGTATATTTCGATTTTTGAACAGTTTAATATAACTTGTTTATGTTTACTGCAGTTTTATTCACTGTATTTTCCTTGTTATGTTCCAAAACGCTCACAAAGATCCCAGAGAAAGTCACAACTACTCATCTGTGGATATGTTTCCATTATTCATATTCAACGTGTTCAAAATGAAGCTGGGGTTCTTTGTTTATGGTTAATGTTTGGTGGTGGCGATTCCACATTATTTTAGCCGTAGTCAAAACATGGTTGTCTAACGGAAACCCATTAAAGAAAATTAGCTAAAACGAAGGTTAGGAGAATGCAATAAACACATGTTCAAGAAGGCGGTTTACTTATTCCAATTGCGTGTTTAATTTTACAGCCTCACATGTATTCGGATGTCATATCTAACAATCAAAATCACTGTAAATGGTTATAATGTAAAAAACCAATAAATAAGTACAATGATAAAACATGATTCCTCAGAATTTGTATTTTGTGGTTTTCTGCGGCATTGTCTTTAAATATATTTTTTGTAAGGCAACGGTCCAAAACCTGAAGTGACGTTGTTTCAGGGGGTGATGGGCTCTGTGGCTGTCCCACTTCTTCAGCATTAGAAGTGAAAGAATTTTGATTGCACTACGTATAGAAAAGGTCCCCGAACCTTTACTTATTGACAACCATAGGAGTGAATAAACATAAATTTATATCTCAATGAATCGGGATTGAACCGGCAATTTTCCGATTTACAGGTGAACACTAAGAAGACTTTAAGACTCATAAACAGTAAGCCAATGACAGTAGGTACAATATCAAAAATACATTTTTGCATTTATTACTGACAAAATAAGGTTAATTTTGCTACTATTATATTAGGTACATGTGAAAATAAGTTTTAAAATATGCATTTAAAAATACTAGTCTAATAAAAATTATTGAATTTAATTGGTTAACTAACAGTTATAAGGTTTCTATTAATTGACATACAAACAAACTAATGTTTCCACCAACTTCCTCTCAAATGGAACCAGATTCAAAGATTTACTTAATTAAATGACAAAACCATCCCTCTTGCTTCCCCCAACCTCTCCCCATTTACCATAAAACCACTCATTTTGTCCCCCACCCCGCCAACCCGACAAGCAAACAGCCAATACAACCAAGAGGTTTATGACTTTGTTATTAAAATTGTGACCCATTTTCGAAACTCTGAAGCTTTCAATAGATTTTAACTCAATCCAGGAGTTTGTTACGAGTCTAAAATGTAAAAAGTTTGTTAATTAATTTTATTTTGACCTTTATTGAAACAACAATGACAATGACATGTATTTGCACGTTACAATGTGTGACTTAGTAGTTTTGTGAACTAAAAACATTAATTTGGTTATGTATGATATACATTTTATGCACACAAACATATAAAAACAAACGTTGAATATATAAAATTTGTGGTCCTATGATAGTATCGTGGGGATTTTAACTACCAGAAAGGATAACGGTCCATAAGAATTTATGCCAAAACCCAAGAAGTTCTATTAAATTGAGTTGAAACTGTAAAATTAATTGTTTCAAAATTAATCAAACCATAACGGACGGAAAACTCTTGTAGTCCAGTCAAGGAATGAGGTGTAGAGTGCGTGAGCAGGTAACTAAGCGATTCCTTCAGAAACTTGTTCAGGGGGCTTAGGGTGTTAACATACCAAAAGTCCTGACTCCTAGGTGGTTTGCCAGGGGGTGGAGGGGGGAAAAAGGGGGGGGGGAAGGTACGCATTCTGGGTTTTTTGATTATATCTCGAAAACTATCAACTTTTTGTATACTATAGTAAATTATAAAATTGAAGAAGATTAAATTTTCTACAAGAAAAGTATATAATGTGTTTATTTTGGTTCAACAGATTACGAGTTATAACTTATTTAATTGATATCTTATTAAAATCTTCTTCCATAAGAAATACATGTAAATTAGTATACGAAATGGGGCGAATCCTATCCGCCCAAAGGAAATATAAATGATATTCTGGAAATCTTGACAACATTTCCAGTAATTTGACACTTTAATCATTAAAATTGATCCAAAATTAAGGCGAGGGCGAGGTAACAAAATGTCGAGTTTTGGTGTTTTTTTATTGGAAATATAAAAAAAACCCTTAAATCATCCCATTTTTAAACGCTCACCCTCGCTTTAATTTTTGACAAAATTTCATGATTAAAGTGTCAAATTACTGGAAATTTTGTCAAGATTTCCAGAATATCATTTATATTTCCTTTGGGCGGATAGGATTCGCCCCATTTCGTATACTAATTTACATGTATTTCTTATGGAAGAAGATTTTAATAAGATATCAATTAAATAAGTTATAACTCGTAATCTGTTGAACCAAAATAAACACATTATATACTTTTCTTGTAGACAATTTAATCTTCTTCAATTTTATAATTTACTATAGTATACAAAAAGTTGATAGTTTTCGAGATATAATCAAAAAACCCAAAATGCGTACCTTCCCCCCCCCCTTTCCCCCCCCTCCAACCCCTGGCTCACCACCTAGGAGTCAGGACTTTTGGTATGTTAACACCCTAAGCCCCCTGAACAAGTTT